GGGGGGGGGGGGGGGGGGGGGGGGGGGGGGGGGGGGGGGGGGGGGGGGGGGGGGGGGGGGACTGGTGAAGGGTCGTCTAGTTTCATTTGGCGAGGGGGAGGGAGGGGGCGTGCTCACGTTTTGCATGCCTTACCGGTTAAGACCATTGACGTGGTGTCCTCGAGAGGGAGGTGGAAGCATAAGCATTGTGCCCTGGGGGGAGGGAAACTTGCCATCAAAGTTTCCTAACGGAAAACAGCAACAACAACATCAACATGCACATGAACCCCTTCCAACTCTCCTCACCCGCCCCGCCGCCTCTCGTGCCACGAACGCATCATGCCGCCGCACACTGCGGAGCCCCCGTCGCCCTCTGTCTTCGCCACAGCAATCCCATCCCCCGCCGACACACACACACACACACACCTCTGGTTATTCAGCAGCCACCAGAACCGACGTACACCATGTCGCATGTTCTCCTACAGACTTGAGGGCCCCCAGCGTGGAGAACATGTCATGTTTCTCCTTCCCCCGCCCCGCCCCCAGGAAAACAACACAACACACACAATTTTATGGTTTCCCTTGTGTTTTCCCGCTACACCTCGACTGACAGAAAACCTACCACCGCCACGTGCGGGTACGGATGATAACCAGTCCCCTCCTGAGGTCCATCGTCTACCATACCGACTACGGCACGTGTGTACACGAGTGCCGCGGTCCCCCGCTCCACGTACCCGTGCCTCCGAGTGCTGCCCACAAAGACGGGGGAGGATGAACCCGTGTGTCGCCATCTGCTCGCACTCATCACGGTCGCACTTTCGCCTGAAAGGAACAAAGGAACAAACCAACCACAAGACGGGATGAGACTATGATAACAACACAAAAATAACGCCGCATGTTACCAACGGACAAACACACGACAAAAGCACAGAAAAAAAGAGAATTTTGTAACAAAAGACAAGCCAACACAAAGACAAACAAGATGAAAGGAGAAAAACAAAACTCGACCGTAAGAACAAAAGACAAGCCAACACAAGGACAAAGAAAAACAAAAAATGAGAAAAAAAGGAAATGGATGTACCAAAGGACAAGCCAACGAAAGACAAACAAAAAAGGAGAGTTGTGCAACAAAAGGCACGGCCGACAAAGGAAACGTCACACCCTTGATGCCTCCCTGACGGCGTCCCATAAAATGGCCGTTAAAAGCATTTTCTGTTTTCATCCACACTGAGACGTGCGTCATTTCATTGGTCAGCCGGATAGTGTACTCGATGCTCACAATAAAGACACACAAGATTTACGGGCTTAAGAAATTCAGTCGCACTGAGGATTGACAAATATTTCCGTTGGTCAGCCGTATAAGGCGGTAAATGCTACCTCAAGAAACAAACACATACACACACACTCCACGAAAATATATATTCTACCTGCGTTCCGAAGGGTCTTCGTCAAGCATCTGGCTGAGAGCCGTCCTTCTCTCCTCCGCCGCCCCTTCGTCTCCTTTGCCACCCCCCCCCCCGCCGCCGCCGCCGCCGCCGCCGCCGCCGCCCCCCGCCCCCGGGGGGACAACGCCCACGCCGCTGCTGGCGGCAGTGAAACCGCCGCTACCACCGCCGCCGGACCCGGGCCTCCAAGCATGCCACAGGTTTCCAAAGTCGGGGCGGTTGTTGTTGGCGGACGNCCCCCCCCCCTGCTGCTGGGAGGCCTTGTAGTCGTTGCCGCCGCCGCCGCCGCCGCCGCCGCTGGTGCTCGTGGTGGGGCTGCTACCGCCAGCACGGTCGTCGCGTTTCTTCTTGTCCTCGGCGGCGGTGGCCCTGAAAAACGAGCCAAAAAAAAAAAAAAAAACGGTTACAAAAAATTTGAGTGTGCCTTGTCTATTTTTCTACTAATAAATAGGAGGACACATGAAAGGGGGGGGGGGGGTT